ATTCTCGCGTGGAGTCCTATAGGAAGACCAGAGCCAAATCTGGAATCGATGGAAACATCTGTGGAGCAGCTATTCAGATGGCTTTGAAGAGGTTTCACTGGTTTCAGCGTGTCGATCGATAAGTATTTATAGCGAATCGATCGTGTTTTCACTATGTGATATGTGAAAGATGCCAACTACTTTATGTAAGAACCCCTGACAAGTATATGGGTTATTAATTATTTTTAGTGCCAGCGGTTTTCCAGTAATAATTACATTTCAACCTGCGACCTGCACCCCGCACCCTGCAAAAAAGACCTGCTGTGAGGCAGATGTGAAAGTGTTGTCTTAATGTATACTTGTAAAGCATATAAGTACAGTCCAGCCTATGTCCAGTCTATTTCACCCTGAATTAGCTTTAAGGAACATTAATAGGGAGCTTGGCTAAAAAAAATTCAACTGCAATTGAAACGTCAACCATATTCAAGTTATGTTTTTGATCCTTTTGTAATAATAATGCACTTGCACGATGCTGTCATTTGCCTACAACTACCTGGATTCATTTCATTTCTCCTTTATGATGCAAATTTTAAAATCAATGTGGGGTTTAAATAACCATTGCATTAGTTAGCATTAGAAAAAAGAAAAGCTAAGGATTCTGGTTTTGGTAGTCAGATGACGCCATCATGCAAATTGCCTATTGGTGTAACAGCTGAGTAAATCACATTTAATTAATGTAATACACAGAGAGCTGTAAGTGTCCTTCCTTGTTGGCAGGGACTCAATGTGAATGCAATGGCTGAGGAAAGTTTTTGTTTTGTTTTAACAGAAAAACCGGGTTCTCAAAGCTGAACTGAAGAAGTTGCGAAAAGACGCTAAGCTGTAATCTTGCTGTTAAGATTCAAATAAATCTTTTGTTTGAGAAAATCTGAAGTTCTTTAATAGCTGTCATTTTGTGTTACAGTACCTTAAGCAACAAAAATGTTAATTCGCAAGTCTAACTTTCACAATTCAGATTCACTGACACTAGCTTCATGCAACTCAAACTTGAAAAAAAGCTACAGTATGGGAACACGTTTTGGGTTCTCTCCTCTTCCCCCCCTCCTCCCTTCATATTTCCATGTTCATTTGTTAAAACATTGAGAGCCTGTCGTAGGTATTCAGTTAACTGGGGAGCAGCTCAAATAGGAAAATGGTGACTTAGGAAAAGGACAAAGATAAGGGCCTTTTTTGTGATTTCTTTCTGTACACTGTACCTCAACTACAGTTTAATTGAATGCCTGAATGAGGCAATTTCCATAATAATTCTTAGTACCTTCTTAGTACCTTCTCTCTTAACCTTGGAAG